ATACAGTCCTTATAGAAATAACATGCGCTGCTGTGTTTTACTGAACATACTGCTATAATTCTCTTTGTACTCATTCTGTAGATTCACAACAATGTAGTGTTGTTTGATTATGCGAAATGTGAAAATTAGACAATCATGTATTATTGTACTTTACCAGCAGAGACAACAGGAGAATCAGAATGGCCAAAGTAAAAACTGTCTAAAGGTAGAAGACAGAAAGAAGGACAAACACAAAAACAAGTGTAAACATCATTACGGCAAACATGGTGGAAAGATTTCGTAACAAAAATTCTTGGTACTCATTAGTTAGTAAAACACCACGTTGATAGACGGCAGTATAGCATCTACCACAATTGTGGTACCAATAGTTATTGTACATAAACACTGATGCTAATGCTAGCTAAAGAGCTACTGAATGCACCTTTAAAAAGTCTTTAAATGGCACCAAAAGATCATTTGGTTTATGCTCAACAAAGCTTGTCAGATTGTGCCCTAAAAATTAAATAGAAATTATTTTTAAAATGTCAACGCTTACACAACCCCCTGCCCCCACCCTGACACCAAATATATTGTACAATTCACAAACTGATCTTATATAATTCCTAACAGCACTGTAAAGCACTTCAAAAAGGAAAAACATGCAGCTACGTTAGCTGATTAAACCTTTAAATGTCATTCATGAAACCCAATGTGCTCAGGTCGATTCAGCTGAACCAGTTTTGCACACCAGTTAAGTTTGATGTTACCACAAGAACAATATTTTATAGCTCCCACAGTTTAACCCAACACAGATTTGTAGTTTCAATGCTTTTCAGCAGTCTTCAGTTCGTGTTTTCGACTCTCGTTCTGTAATTGCGCTTTAACAGAGCGGAGCTGTTCCCCCCTGGAGTCCACACTCACTTCACCTCTACAAATATTACATATGTGTTTACAGTGTTTTTTTTCTCCATTACATACCACAGAGTTCCCTAATGTGACTATAATGAAGCATTCACAGAGAATGTGAAAACAGAATCTATCCTTTCGTCAGCAGAAATGTTTGTTTGCCCAGGAAAACCGGTGGTTCGTATGTATTTATTCAACCCTGTTTCTCAATTATGCGTCTGAGAGGGTTCTGTATTTTTTCTGGGATGCGCATCACTGGAGCAAGAGTGTAGGGCCGTTAGGATCACTGCCCACTCCGCGCTCAGTAATTGTCAGTGTGTGTATGTGTGCAAGCTGAAGGTACACTCAGCTATAACTCTCTTAGAAGATGAATGAGGAGGCAGTGGTCTGGTTGCTTTGTTTTCGTTTTTTACCTCATCGCCTGCGGCACCTCTCTTACTGTTTACACCAAACGTGCTCAGCTCAAAAACAAAGACGTTTAGTTGTAGAACACTCACACACGTGTGCCGTATCACACCCCCCGAGTCAAAACACTACCCAGAGAATGAGTGACTGTGCAGCTTTGGCTGTAGACCCAAATTCAGCACAGTTACCACAGCTATTACCGCTATTAGCATGCTGTGCTACATTTAGACTCTGACCCATGAGAATAAGTGTACGTATAGCATCGCGACTTTCAGCAATACAATGCTTAAATATCAGCTCTCGCTCTCTTTCTCTGTGCTGTATAACTAGGCCAAGCTGAGGTAACAGGGTGTCATCAGTGTTGCAGAGCAGTTATGGAGAGAGAGGGATGTCTACACACACACATACACACAGATAATGCTAGCTCACAGGCTAATTTCCCCCCACACTTTTTTTTTTTTTTACAAAACAAAGTACACACTTCTTGGAACACTTCTTGTAGAAATAATGGGAGAACACTGTAGCTTGTAGTAAAATGGGGTTAATGTCCATACTTTCTAATGTGCAGTGGGCCGAAAGTGTGTAATGGCATTTGCTGTAGAAGTCTTATTAAACTTAATCCATGGAAATAAGCCAGTTTAATTTGGTTTTATCACGTTGCATATCCGCCCCGTGCTGCTACCGATGCTAATGCAGTTAGGCAGCTTTCTCAGTACGTTGAAACTGGGTGGAAGAAGCACTTTTCATTTCTCTGCACAGTGAGCACCCCGGAGTGAATGGAAAAGCACATGGCGGCACAGATATAATCCTGTAGCGTTAAACACCAAGGCAAAAGAAACATTAGAACTTAGAAACATTGCCAAGTTATGAAACATGTCACCTGTTTCTGGTGCAGAAAAGCTAGTTCATGCATTCATGACCTCTAGACTGGACTATTGTAATGCACTGCTAGGTGGTTGTCCTGAGGTAGAGTTTTTTCGCATTTGGCTCCCAAACTCTGGAATAGCCTTCCTGATACCGTTCGGGGTTCAGACACTCTCTCTCTGTTTAAATCTAGATTAAAGACACATCTCTTTGGCCAAGCATTCAAATAATGCATCTCATACTCTTGTTCTGCAGTTATATCTGATCAAATGCACATTATTATTCTTTAGCTTGGGTTAAACAAATCAATTTTGCTTTGTTGGAACAGCAGCTACGCTAATTAAGTCTCTATTTGTTTCTCTGTTTTTGCGTAACTAGGGTTTACACAAGCTTCAGTCTGGATCCAGAACACCTGAGAAGAGATGATGCCAAACCCTCAGAGGACCTCAGATGATGCCAACCCTGAAACAACATACAGAACTACCACATTTTGCTATAAGTTTGATTGCATCATATAATAATTGCTGTTAATAGTGTTCATCGTCTGTTTGATTACGTCTTTAATTGATTTTCCCGTACATTTCTGCGATATGTACATTAACTGACAGTCACCACTGGTAGGCTACTACTAAATATTGTATTAACTTAATTTGCTGTAAAGTTGCTTTGCAACGATTTGTATCGTGAAAAGCGTTATACAAATAAACTTGAATTGAATTGAATTGAATAAGGAGGCCCACGCGAAACCAGTGTGTGTAAAATGCCCTTTGTATGTTGGTTTATTCTACTTACCAATAAGACTGTAGTATTTGGACAGTTTACCATGCGTTTTCCTCAAACTTCAGTGCAAAACATGCAAAAAAAATGTCAGTAAATTTAGCTTTTGCATAAATACGTGTGATTAACGTTAAAGCTAATGTTCACACTGTATGATGTTGGCCACAAAGACATAATCAGATTTATTTTATTTTAACTATATAATAATATTAATTGTATTAGTAATAATATATTAATTTGAATAATTTATTCAATTACAATCATCCTTCGACCGTCTTGAAAGTTTGTTGAGGCCCCCTAGTAGGTCCCGACCTGGGGTGCATTTCCCAAAAATAACTGGTCGCAAGTTCCGTCGTTGCCAATACAATTCAATGGAACTAACAATTATAGTTAACTAATGATGGTTTTGGGACACACACCTCTGCGTGGTTGAGAACCACTATTGTATGGCAAAATTATCAGTCTTTATCACTAATCAAACTGTAAATGTTTGCATTTGCATGGCTGTACTGGGATAAAATCAATCAATTTATAGGAACGCCAAAATTTGTAGTCAGTCACACGGCCATGTTCGACATGGCGCAAAGCATGATGATTATAAAGCCCTATAAGTAAAATTTAATTGATAATATTTGTATATACAGATATGGAACGTGGGGTATGCAAACTGCATTGGGGTGAAACTCAAAGAGGGGAAAAATGCTCATATCTAGGGGGTGTCCAATGGCTGTAAAAACCATACTGTGCCAGCTTAAAAACAAGCTTCAGATTTTCATATAATCACAGACAACTGCCGTAAAATGTGTCAAGAATGTGTGAGTGATTGAGATTGAGATAGGAGTACCAATAAATAAGAGGCTCTCAGGCAGGTGGGCTGCTGCTGGTTTATATTTTTAATTTGATTTTGATTTAGGCCAAATTTGTATTCTGCCCCAAGCTACTTATTAGTGTGAACAGTACCTGTAAACTAGGTCAATTCCTGCATTATTTCATAGGTTTTACAACCAGTAGAGCCAGATAACAAACTGATACATCAACACACTCATTTACATCCCCGCTGTTGCTCTAATTTACCGTTAAGTCAGAGCTGACATACCTAACCGTGACCTAACCACCTCATCCATTCTAATATGAAGTAAAAAAATGAAGTGTGTATGTGTGTGAGAGAAAGAGAGACCGAGTGTGTGTGTGTGACAGTTAGAGATGCTGAGATTGAATGGTGTCACAATGCAGGCATATTGAGGTCATTTTGAAAAAGTGCTGCTAATTACAGCAGATGGAATGAAATGAAACAGGGGACTAGACTGGGCTCCATGTGTGATGCTGAAAGAGGGAGGAGAACGAAAAAGCAGAGGGGTAGAAACAGACGGAGACTCCCTGATAGAAACATGCAGGAGTGCGAGAGAACGGAGAAGTGATGGAAAGAGACACACGAGGAGAGAGAGAGAGAGAGAGGTTCTGTGAGGACAAAAGCACAAACCTGACCAAATTTCTACAACATACAGCAGATATGAAACTGTACAAGACTCATATTTGGAGCAGAAGTCTCTCTTTGTCACATCAGTATGTAGAGTTTTCAGTGATCAATAATATGGTTTTGGCTGACTTTGACATTACAGCTGGGGCTTGAGGCATAAAACTCTGCTTTATTTTATTTTTTACTACATTGACAAAAAGTCCACAGATGAGGACTACAAAGCATTAACCCTATTCAGCAAACATCTACCTAACCTACATGTGGTTGTTTTCAAGATCAAGACATCTAGGAAATCTATCATTCCTACTTAAGAAATGCATATTACCAAAACAAACACCTGCATTGATTATAGTCATGCATGCACAATACACACAAGCATGGCACATCTCAAAAAAGCTCCTGTCCTGGACTACTGGTGCACCTGCCCCATAAGGGAATCCCGATTAATGTAAACGTCTAAACTGGTTTCAGATTAGATAATTACATGCGACATTTTGGTTTATATTGGGGGGGGGGTCTATTTTTCAGGCATTTTTTAAAAATTTATTTAAATGTAATTTCTAATAAAGTAGGCCGTACAGAATTTACTTACAGAATATTTGAACTGTTCCAGTGTACCGCGTGCCTGCCTGCAGTCACCAGGTCAAAGTTCGTGCAGGTGAGCGTCAGAATAAAGAGACAGAGCGCGAAGAGTGCCATAATCCTTCGATCTCTCGCTTTTCTTCCCAGTCTTGCAAGATCTTCTCACCCCACGCGACGCTGCGCCGGAACCATCCCGTTCGGTGAAGAAGGGCAGGAAGAGATGCGACCTAAAGCGTAAAACTACTTAAACACGGGGTTTCGCAATCTATATGTTTGTATTAAGTGTTTAAAAAGTCAGAATCCATGGCGAAGACCCCCTCCCTCTGTCCCCATGGCGTCAACCCAAATCCAATAGTCCGATACGAGACCACCGCTGATGGTTCTCTGCGGACGGAGCAGAAATGGATGCAGGCAGATGGATGGTAGGAGTTTAAATGCGGGAAAGAGAGAAGCGTGTCCTCCCGTAGCGTTGGAGAAACTCTGGAGGCAACGAGGCTCCGTGATTGTAAAACTAATATTCTCTTTTGTTGATGCGCGGCAGCAGGATGTTTCACACTTACAATTGTCTGACGAACAAGTGCTCGGGCGAGTTTTATTCGCTCTCTTTGGCCATATCCACCGCTCTCTCTCTCTCACACACACACACACACACCACCAGCGCGCTGTTTGGTAGGCTGTGCTCGATCGTTCGGTCACCAGCTCCGCCTCCTTCCCAGGACAAAAGCGCGAGTCCGTTGGCTCCAGCTCTCAGTCTTTCAGAGATGCTTTTAGACAGCTGCTCTCGCGACGGACGAGAGAAACTTTATTTTATATTTCTAAACCATTACGACGGGGCCGTTCCTAGTGCAGTTTTAATCACCTACCACCAGAACAATCCACTTACTGTCTGTCAGAGAGCAGGGCTTTATATCCTATTATACTCAAACCTCCATCCTTCTATCCACACCTGCTCTCTCACTCTCTCTCGCTCTCTCTCTCTCTCTCTCTCTCTCTCTCCCCAGACAGTGTAAGTCTTTTCTAATATGGAATAATTATGGGAAATCCTCTTAGGAGGGTGAATGGATTGATGGATTGGCTCATCTCTATCTCTGTCCTTCACTCATGGGATCTACTCATCCACATAAAGGATGTTGAGCTGATGTTAATGTTCATATGATAGTAATCAGTCTCCCCCGCTCCTGTATGTGCGCGTCATTTGTTTTATGTTAAAATCGCATCAATTTGAAAGATGTGTCCCTCTTGTCAGGCCTATTATAATAATTATATATACACACCTGGGCACATCTGGACACATCTATCTATCTATCTATCTATCTATCTATCTATCTATCTATCTATCTATCTATCTGTCTGTCTGTCTGTCTGTCTGTCTATCTATCTACCTCAATGTTGCCAAATTTGTGGTTTTCCCACAAAATTGGGCTACTTTTATACTGCTGCCGTGGGTTCCCTGTACATGATTTCAACCAAGGTGGTCACCCTGAATAGATTTTGATAGCCATTTTCACCCGCAACACAATTGAGCTTGTTTTGGTCATGATTGGGCTAGTTTGGAGTATTTTGTTACACAGACCTGGCAACCCTATCTATCTATCTATCTATCTATCTATCTATCTATCTATCTATCTATCTATCTATCTATCTATCTATCTATCTATCTGTCTATCTGTCTATCTGTCTGTCTGTCTGTCTCAATGTTGCCAAAACCGTAGTTTTCCCACAAAATTGGGCTACATTTATACTGCTGCCGTGGGTTCCTCGGAACATGACTTTGACCAAGCTGGATTCCCCTGGATAGATTTTGATAGCCATTTTCCCACGCAACACAATTGGTCTAGCTTTGAGTACCAGTTGGGCTGATTTTGTTATGCAGACCTGGCAACCCTTCTATCTGTCTATCTATCCGTCTGTCTGTCTGTCTCTCTGTCTGTCTGTCTTTCTTTCTTTCTTTCTTTCTTGGATGTACATGGAAGAACAGATAATGCACAGATACAGAAATAGTTGTAGATAGTTAAAGCAAAAGTGCTATGTAATATTTATTACATGATGGTCGATGTCATGATGCCTTAAGACACATAGCCTTGGTGATAGCTGTGATAGTTTTCGTTTTTTTAGGGTTTCTTTTTTTTTCAGGAATGTGAAAAAGCGAGCGGAAGGAGAGAGTTGCAGAGGAGGGATAGTTGCAGTTTGCCTCCTGTCTGCTGGGAATGAGTTGGTTAAGGAGAAGTCAAAATGATTTATTGGGAGAAAAGAAGGGAATAGAGGGAGAGAGGACAGTGAGAAAGAGAGGAAGAGATTAGGTGTCATTGGGGAATCCCTCTGTCTTTTTGTCTTTTCCCTCTTTTTGTTTTTTACTATTTCTCACCTGTCTTTCCCCCGCTGCCCATTTGTAAATCACAGCGCCACCACCCCCTCCACCCTCCACACACATACACATTTGCCAGCTCCTCCTGTCTTCACCCTACACCCATTGTGCCAAGCGTCATTGACTCTTTCGAAGTCTATTTCTGTCCTTCTTTTGTTCCCTCGCTCTCTCGTGATCTACCTCTGTCACCTCTTTGTGTGCCTCACTCTCATCGGCCTGCCATCTTTCTCTCCGCCAGAGTTTCTATGGCAGCGACGAAATATTTCACTCCTCTTTTCAACAGTCGCTCCTTCGCCCTGTCAGCACACAAGTTTTGGGACTCGAGCAAAAAAATTTAAATTGGTAGAGGAAAATATTCCCTCTTCAACATCCCCTTCACACACTAAGATTCCATGTATTTTATGTATGTTGCAAATTGAGTTTGAAATTTGCTATCGTAAATAGCTCCTAAATTGTAATATTCAAGCAAGTCAGTTGTGCGCTCCCCCTAGAGTGAGAAATTTACATATCCTTTCTATTCCATTTCTTTATTTATGACGATTCAAACCATTTTATATAACCATGACGGGCTATTGTCAGTTTTCATAAAACATCTTTCATTTGCAATACTGCCTCCCAATTCAATTGTGTCTCTCTGTCTCAGGAGCAGATGATGAAAAATGGTAGTGTATCATTTTCAGGCCCCGTGACACCGTGGCCCTTATGACATTTAGCTCGGGGAGTTCCTGCTCGGCTCTATCTGTCGGGTTCTCGCTCTCAAATCCAATCTCCACACATTCGTAGCCTTCAATCTAATAGAACATTCAGCTCTGGCCCAACTTTGATTTGCTTTCAGATATAAACTACCCAACTAAAACACAAACACATCGGGCTGAACGGCTGACCTTATGACACAGAAGTTCTCTCCCCGTGACTGGGAGGTGACGCCGCGTCACCGTCACGCTGAACACATCAGGGCAGACTGGAACAGGCTCTGTAGACTGTTGTATAACAATGCCGATTTATATTTGCAGCACTTCCCCAAGTTCCCAAATCTCATTTAAAATATCACACCATGGGAATCTAGCACATATAAAATGGCTATTTAAGTATATTCCAGATAAAATACAACTGTGGTCAGCTGCAACAGAACATAATCAGCATGAAAACAAAAGAAAACAAGTTTGCAGTTAATACAATTAGCAAATTGAAATTGAAAAGCAAGTATGCAGCCATATGAATAATTTAATAAAATGTGAGAAATTAAAATATCCATTTATTTTTAACTATCACACTGTTTCAAAAGTAAAACCTTTAACACTACAACATTTAAACATTACACATGTTAATCACATCTCTTATACAAAAGAGTACTTCTTGGTATTTATGACATGATTTATGTGTTGGGGAGGTTACTTTGGAAATGTAATGGTTACAGATTACAAGTTACCTTATTTAAAATGTAATAAGTAGAGTAACTTTTTCAATTACTTTATTAAAGTAATTAACTGATTACATTTGAATAATTATGTTTTTCTGAACTGTTAATCATTTTCAAACATTTAAAGCTGGCATGGTTAACCTTACAATAGTACATAACACTGATTACTGTAAGACTTTCAAAATCCTTCATCACTTGAATTAAGATTATAATAATTTAATTTTAAAGCATAGCCACCGCAAAATCAGACTTTATCATAAAATAACATCATAACAATATAGTTTAATAGCTATGATACTGTTTTTGAAATCATATGACAGGAAACCATCTAACATTGCCTTGGGAAAAAAACCCAGTTAATTTAAAAAATAAACTGTTATCAAATAAACGTGTGTCCTATTCTGTGTCCTAAACTCCTGAAACATTGGTGTCTCACATTTTAGAGTAGTCAATGCTATTTTGGAAAGAAATCAATCAAATCTGTATGTGTGAAAATATTCAGATGTAACAGATTACAGTTACATTTATTATGTAATTAAATTACATAATTCCTTTACATTTAACTAGTTACTCCCCAACACTGATAGCAGGATAACAGTAAGTGATATGGAGGGGGTGTAATGAAACAAACATGTACCATTATTATTATAGAAAATAATTTTAAAGCGCAAATAACAAACCTTTTTAACTGAAGAATTCATGTAAGTGCTTAAAAAATGTCTAGCTTCACATTTTTGATTTTAAGCTCTTTGGAACACTTGCTGCAAGCTTCCATTGTAAGTGCATTACTGTAATGTGTTTTCCATTCATTCTTTCTTTTTTTTTCATATTTAACCATATTTCAGTGAATGTAATATCTTTTTTTAAAACAAACTAAAGGAACAAGTCAAATTTATCACCTAGAAAACTGCCACACAGCTTCTCCATAAAATTAAGTTTTTAACCCTCAATATTTCTTTAAGTGCACTTTCACAATTTGTAGTTTTGCGGGACCGATTATATCTAAGAGCTTCTTTGTTTCAAAATTAAGAAGCAAAAGTGGCCTTCTACACATGCTCTCTCTCTCTCTCTCTCTCTCTTTCTGTCCCTCCATCGCTCTCCCTTCCTCTCACTCATCTGTCTGACATGAATTTTCAATCTCACTGTTTACCTTCCACTGCTGTGCCTAAAACAACACTGACATGGGTAGAGCACACATATAAGAGAGCGAGAGAGAGAGAGAGGAGAAGAAGATCAAGAAGGAGGCAGATATATTAGTAAGGCCAGCGAAAAGAAAAGAGTATAACAATGAAAGAGGTGGAAAAACAGAAAAGCCTGTGTGTGTGCATAAGTGTGTGTGTGTGTGTGTGTGTATGCTGTTTGCCAAACAATGGAAAAAAGAGAAAGCATGCTGGCTAAGAACCTCTTTGAATAAATGAAGTGGACATTGTCCAGTCACGGAAAGAGAAAGAGGGAGAGCAAAAATGGGACACAGAACATCAGGAATGAAGTGGGAGAGAGAAAGATTTATAGAAATGGAGGGAAAGGAGGTAGACAGAAAGAATGATGTGGAGAGAAAAAGGATTTTTTTAACGACTGGGGAGGAAGGGGAGGCGGCGTAGAGCAAGCTTAGAATAGATACGCTCTCATCCACATGAAATATTGAACGAGGGAGCAAGAAAACAAGAGAGAGGAAAGGAAAATGGAGAGAATGATGGAGATAAATACAATCGTTATTTGTTTAGTGCGCGCTGAGGGAGAGTGCGAGATGGAGGGAGGGAGCGAACGAGAAGAAGGGAAGGAGAGCACTTTGGAAAAGATGGATGAACGAGAGAGTCTTGCCGGCAGCG